TATATATATATATGTATATGTATGTATGTGTGTGTATGTGTGTGTGTGTGCATACACACACTACAAACACACACAGATCCCAGCAAATGTAAATCCTGCTCATTATTTTGCTGTATGTGTTTACTCATAGTTCTTGGATTCTCTGAGTTTTGTTAAAATGGATATATGACTATTTGGTTAAGTGACTTTATCTCTTCATTGTCCTGTCCATTGTAGTAAATAGGTCTTACTTATGAAAAGGATATAGTTGAAGTAGTTTTTTCAAAAGGTTTTCATGTTATTAAGTGGGAAGGTTTTGCTAATTTATAATATTCTGTAGGTTGAAATAATACCTGTGATAAGCCTTGGACAATTGCACAGTATTTAATGAGAGTTTTGTCAGGGTCAGTCAAAAACTACATCAGTTCACACAACTAGATGTAACTGGAGAAGCAGTTCCTATGAGTTTGATACCTCAGGACAGTGTGAAATTTGCAGTTACATAATCAACAGAAAGTAAGTTTAAATTTACTGAGATTTTATATGCTTGACATGGAATTATCAGCACAAAGATTTGGGAATTTCTATTGGTGTAGTGGGAAATCCCATTGTGGTTGATTAGTAATGTCTGCCATGTTGTATAATCACAGACTGCTGCTGTTTGTGGTAGACACTTGCAATCACTCATTTATAGGTTTGGCGAGTAGCATAAACATCTTAAACCATATTCTGGATCTCTTTAATTGGCAGCCAAGAAGAAAACTGTGCTTACTTCTTTCCATTTAGAAGATACTAGGTTGAAGACATTAAATTCCTCATAAAAAAATATCTGGAGTCATAAGAAAATATCTGTAGTCATTTACTTCAGTTTTAGACTGAAATTAGAAAACAATAACACAAGTAACTGGTTGGAATTTTTTCTGCGTTAAACTTGTGCTTACTTTAAATTTGACTAATTCCTTTCTCCTGACCTTCAAGGTTTCACCTAAAATTGAAGGTTTAACTAACCGTAATACTTTCTTTTTCATTGTGAGCATCATCTTCTGCCTTCTACCAAGGCCCCTGTAATCTCTGTCTCTTTTTCTTTCTTAATGAAAAGCAACTGTATTTCTTTTAGTATCTTGGCTAAGTAAGAGGAAGGCCACAGAAGGAAACCCAAGAACCCAAGAACAATTTCCCAAAGGGACTTATTAGCAATATTTGACATAATTGCAGAAGCAGGAGTGCACACATCATGTTGATATCCTTGAATGCAAAACACAGTGTTCAGTGTAGAGGCTGGAGAGCTCTGTGTTCCAGGTCAGCTTTCCGGAAGGTTGTTCAGGCATCCTCTGTTAATCTCCATAAAAAGCCAGGAAGGCACAGACTTTATCAATTCAAAAGAAGATGAATAAGGTACCATGGCTATGTGTTCTATATCTCCAAGGGAACCAATTAAGTGAAGGGTGATAATTATTCATATTCAAAACATGTTATAGGAGCTAAACTGAAATTAAACAATTAGAAAAAATAATATTAGCAGGAAAATATGCTTATACTGAAAAGACAGATCAATACAAAACTACTGAAATATTTAAGGATTTTAAAGACACTAAAATGATGCCTTCTTGATGGTGTGTTTTTGTAAAACGCAATTCTTTTGATTTTGAAAATGTTAGTTAAAATGAATACACATGATAAGACATGGATTTTGACTATAAAAATGTCTTGAGATCTATTATTCAACATAATATATTAAGTGTGTTATGGTTATAGCACAGAAAATATAGATTTAAGAATTGCAAAAATATTGATTATTAGGATAAGTCCTTGCTTTTTTCTTTTATGTTAATTTAATGGGAATACTTCAAAGATATGGATATGATAGTCTGAGATTATATGTGCTTCTCCGAAGTTCCAGGCTTTAGTAGCCTAACCACTCAATAGCTCTGCGGTTGGGGTGTGTGGAGACAAAGGAAAACCCACTTTCATTCTACTCTTTGGAGAACATTCACAGGTGACATAAAAGTATTTGATTTGTGGGTAGGAGATGCCGAGCAGGTGTCTCTTGATGGCAGAACTTTTGGGTGGAGATCAGGACCTGAACTTACCTTTACTGAGTTTGACAATGAGTAGAGCTGGGTAATGACTATATTACTCGATGCAGTTTTCAAAACCCATTGATTTGTACATCAAAAGGCTAAGTTTTTAATACATGCAAACTAAGGAAAAGAAAGTGCCTCCCAGGAGTAGAAGGGCAAATGAATTAAACTGTTCGTGCAAGTGTAACAGGTCTGCTCTGAAGAAGTGGGCATGAAGACACTTGTCCTGATAACCTTGTAAAATAGTGTGTTCACAGTAACGCTAACCTTTACTATTCAGGTAAAAGGTAAAGAAATCATGGGGCCAAAGACAAAAAGGAGCTGCCCATAAAGTGTCCATACTCCACTCTGTATTTTTATTCCCATGGAGGCACAAATTAGCCCTTCTGAGAGGGTACAGTGATGGATATTTGACACCTGGTGTGATTCTGGAGCCACTATACTGACTACAATTTTGTAAGTGGGTAGTGAGGAAGTGAGAGATGCCATGTTTCTCATTGTTGGAAAAAGCACA